TTTTACCTTAAAATGCATATATAGTTCCCTTGTTGGAAGTTATCTTCTCTTCAGCCTGTTTTGCTGATAGGGCATTTTCTACAAGAGTGTTCTCAATATGCTTTGGACAAGATGTGTTTTGACCTGACCAGCTTAATCTGGCTGCGTTAGAATTGGTATGCAGAGAAGTATGGAACACTGACAAATATTCACTTGATAATTACTGTGATATATGTCTTAAAAAACATTTTTTCATAAAATGATGGCATTTTCATTTCAGAACTATTACTACACTTACTCCTAGTTCAGTAAAGCAGGATATTATGTTGTACTAGTTTCAGAAACAAGACGATAATTATCAGGAACACAGCTACTTCACTGAAATAATTTTTTGTGCAATCAAATGTTAATTTAATAAAGGTTCTGCAAAATATGACATTGAAATTATTAAAAATTATTTTCCTGAGCTATTAGTTGTTGCACTTCTTTTACTACATAAGGAAACCAAAAGATGAATCCTGTTTTGATTGTTCTAACTGTCAGGACATCAGTACGTAGTAGATGATGAAGAAAATGATCAGGCAGTGGGAGACAGTTTGAAACCAACTGCAGAAATGACAGGGCTTCATTTGTTTAACATCTGTGATCAGAAAAGATTTTGAAAAATAAATATACAGAACAGGAGTCTTAAAACCTAATTTGCATTCCTAAACATTGTATCATGCTTGCCTCATGTGAACACTCGTTTGTGTAAGAATAAATTATTTCATAGAGAAAGATAAAAAAGGAGATGAATATGTTTATTTGCTAACCAGGAATACAGATTACCAGAAAACCTACAGAGTGCATCTTTCTCCATAATTTTTAACTGAACTTTTGACAACCAAATCAAAATTAAATCACAGGAACACATAAATGGAAGGAAAGATGAGGATTTTGAGGGGTCCTATGTAGATTTCCTGATGTGCCATGAAAGGCTAGTAAGACTACAAGCAATGTGTGAAAGAGGAACTCTGGAACTTGGTGACTGAATTTACCATTGCTTAAGTAGTCATCCAGGCTCTTCATGTACCTATATCAACCCCCAATGAAAATCTGAAATTATAAAATATCTTTGTAAATTAATCTAACAATGACTGTGGGACTTTAAATATAACTAGTGATATAAGGCATATTTTCCTCCAACTCTGATCACATAAAGATGCTGCAACATATATAGATTTAATAGCTTAATGACTTGGCTAAAAGCTCATTTTACTTCCCATTAGCTCTCCATATGAAGGATTTGTATATAGGATTGGTAGCTATTGAACTATTTCCTTGACAAGAACATTTTGTTCTGCTTTTGTCAAAGAATTCCTCCAGATTAAGATGTCTTCATATCAATGGCAGTTCTACTTCACAAACCGAAGTAAAATATGAGATTTTAAGCTCGATTTTATGATGCTTCTGAGAAGTTCTACTAGAACTGCTATTTTGGTGAGTGTAGTTGAAACTGTGTGGCTTCTGGATTGTTGTAACAAACCAGCACATAGTGTTATCTAACAGCACATACTGGAAAAGATGTGTATTGACATGGAGATAATGTAGAAATAAAAAGGCTCAGTGTTACAGAATCTTAAAGAAAATTTTAAACTTTGGTCCATAATATTGCACAAGCTGTCTTAATCTTGAAAAGACAGACTCAGAGTTGCATGACAATTTCTATTCATGCACATTTTCTCTGTGTACTCTGTTTGCTTGAATAATGTAGCCAAAGTGGTATCTTCTATTCAGCTACCTTCCCAAGAAAAACAAAAAACTGTGAATAGACTGTATTTACAGCCTCCAATGAGGTTGGAATTCCAATGAACTTGGAATTCCATCTGCCACTCTGAAAACTGACCACTCTGCTACTAGAAAATCAGAGTTCACACAAAATTTATAAGTCAAACGAGTCAGGAACTACAGTAAAAAGTAAACAACAAAAACCCACCCCAAAGAACAACCTCCATCCTCCCTGCCACCCAAAACAAAAATCCACAAACAAACAGATCCAATGTACAAAACCAAAGCAAACAAACCAAACCCCAGATTCATTCTATTATGAATATGGCATTTTCTATAGCAATGAAGTCTGTATAATTCTTGAAAAGTGCAAACTGGGTATATTAGCTAAGCTAATTCACATAATAGTGGAACTAATTTGATGTTTTATTTACTTTTATGTGTTGGAACACATAATGCATAAACAAAAATTGAAGAGCTTAACTTCATATTCTAGTTTGGCTACTGTGAAACAGGATTTTTTTTTGTTTGTTTTGCAGAGTGAACCAATTTGCCCTAGAACCCCACCTTCTACCCCTTAAAAATGTGATCCTCATGCTTTATATACTGAATCCATACTTATTCTCTAATGTATTTAACAATACAATTTTCAGCAATTTCAACATGGATCTGAATTGGCATTTTAAGTTTATATAGAGCATCAAATTCACAAATTAATTTTAGACTATTCCCCCACGCCCAGTTATTCTATGACTAGCATTTCAGATCAGAATTTGCCAGCCACTTTTCATACTTGTGAGTGAAAGGGGTCATCAAAAGACATTTTCAATGTTATAGTAAATAATTAACATCCCTCCTTCCAGTTCAATGTCAGTAAAAGAATCACTGGGGGGTTTTAATGCCAGAAAATATTGTTTGCACTGGTAATACCAGCTAATATGGCCTGCACATTTCTGAGAAAAGGTAGCAAAATAATATACAAAGGCTATCTACAATCTTTAGGAATGAGACAAGTTTTCTACATTACTTTGTTGTTTGTTTTTTTTTTTCCTCTGTTTTCCAATGGTAGGACAATTTTTCAGTAAACCTGCTTCTTCAAGTAAATCAGAAAATTAATTTTAGAAAATAAATAGCTTTAAACATTGTGCTTATCAATTATTTTTGAAAGTAATCTAAATTTTACCAACTTCACCTAAAACTTGCAGAAAGATTCAGAAAAATTAACATGATTTTAAGACCCACAAGAATACCAAATTTGAATTCTTAATTTGGTTATTTTCTCATCTTCCCAACTTAAATAAGTTTAAAGCTCATCTTCCAAAGAAGAGACATGGTTAAAAAAAGCAATTGTCCGGTTTTATTTTGTTTACATTGCACTGAAAATTTACATCATACTTTTACAAATCCTTTTTCATAAAAATATACTTCTTTACAAAAGTGTATGCATTAATATAAGAGGAGTAGCCAGTTGCAGAAGAAACATTTTAAACGATCTCAAATGTATTAACTTTAACATTAATGAATGAATAATAGTTATTGCAGTCATTTGAATAAACAAGAATAAATAACAACCAATGGTATAAAATATAAAACAGCATCCTTTTAGTAGAATACAGTTTGACAGAGTTGTATGAATATTCAAAACAAAGTGTTGTAAAATGATTTATAAGAAATTCATCAAACATTATAGAAATCCAAGCAGCAATCCTGGGTACAATGATTTTTGGTAGGCACTCTCTATTACGGTAATAAAAAGGTTATTTTCACAGAATTATTCATGTCTGAAAGGGACAATAACGGGTAATTCACACTGGCTAACACACAGCATTTGTGAGTCATGCTATGAATGGAAGACAATGACCTACACCAAATAAATTACTGAGCTCCCACTGAATAATTCTGATATGAAATAACTGTAAAACTAAAAATTGCATTTCCTTAGAAGTGATTCTGGAATGTCTAAAACTTGTATTTGAGGGCTGTGGAATCTGAATTGTCCCTAAAATGAATGGATTGTCCCTAATAAAATCATGGCTTTATATATATATATGTGTGTATATATATATATATATATTGATATTTTTTTCCTTGCACTATGGTAATATATTCAATTTTAAATGAGCTTTAAGGATTTGTTTCCATAGAGTACTGGAATATATAGATAGAACAGATGTGAAAACACAGTATTTCCAAATTATAACTTCCTGCTACCTTGTAGATCTGATTCAAAGTTCATTGAAGTCTCTTAGAATCCATCAGTTTCAATGGGATCACATCATGCTTTGTGCATGCATTTTGTGAAAATGCTGAAGGAACAAACAGGTGGGATATGGTCTAGTTTTAAGTAAAATGGACTGAAAAATGGATTCCTATTTTTGATATAGGGATTTCATTACTAATATTACTGCAAATTGTACTTTTTAATGGGAAATTTTAAATTGTTTTAACTTTCGAAACAAATGTAAGATGGTCACCCCTGAATGTTCTTCAACATTAAAGGAACATAATCACATACAAAGCTCAATTCATATTAGATTCTTCATTGTAAAATTTGTCTAGATATATGATTGACAAAAGAAATATATAAACATTACAATTTGTGGATATTGTTAATAGAAACAGAGAAAACAAGCTTGACTTGGAACATGAAAATGAAGCAAGATATAAAGCAGGGAAGAAAATTCACTTTATAAGGGCATGAAATTTTAATTTTTTTTTTCTGTGATACAAAAAGAGTAAGTTATACTTGCTGATTTCTAAATACTACATCCTGGACTCAGAAATTCGACTGAGAAAAATAAAATACTTAATGGGCTGAAAAAGGAAAAAAGATTCAAACTCATGAGAAAGATGTAGCATATGACTGTTAAAGAGAAATCAGTGACCTATTGTCTCCTGTAAGTATAGCTCTTATTTTCTACCTATATCTTTTTTTTTTTTTAACCCAGTCCCTCTATTATAGTTTTTATTAAGCACAGAATATTGATAGTGGATGCTCCTCCAATATATGCAAATATGTTTTATGTTTTAGAATAACCTCCTTTTTTAAAAAAGCAAATAAACTGTGAGTAGCACTCATGGAGTGCAGCAAAATTCTTTAAAACTCTCTGTGACATACACAAAGAAGAATTCTGATCCAGTTTATGAAAAACAAAATCAAAACAAGATAACTACAACCCAGACTTGCCTAACATCCTCAGGAAAAGGTGACCCACTAGATCCTGAAAAGTGTGCTTTAATTTTTTTTAAATTTCTTTTTTTTTATTTTTTTAATTAGTGAACTGTGTGTTCAGTGTTGTGTGTCAATTTCCAGACTTTGAAGACAAATCATTACCACATTATACCATTGTGCAAACAGTGTTCAAGTTGGGGTCAAATCGTACTGCTTTCCCTTCCACTGACTTTGCATTTGTGTCATACATGGGGTTTTCAAAAGCAGCTTGTCCATTATTATTTTCATGTACAGAGCATCCTGTGTACTGTGTTTTAGGTGCAGTCCTGTAGAAAAAAGACAGAACATTTGTAACTGAAGTTTTCCTCACTGACTTAACATGGTTTAAGAAGCAGAACAGAGTTTAGCTCCCAATTCCAATTATAGGAGCTAAATATGACATCTTGATTTTTTTTTTTACAATATTTATGCTGAGAATTAGTACTGTCTTTATAGAAGTTTAATGGCTTTATGATTCCTTGAAAATGGTATTCACTTAGAAACTTAGTTAACAACCTTAGAAGAGGTTATTCACTGTTGTTGTAACCATTACCCCTTATCTAAGCTGTTATCCATTCCACTTGGATAATCAGATTATAAAGAGTACAACAAAATCTTGTAAAGACACAATAGCTCCCCAACCAGATGACTGAGGGTTTTTTCTGCCTTTGGAGACTCAGCAATTTTACAAAGAGTAAGTTTATAGCTGAATGCCCTCTTTTTCACTAAATAACTAAAAATATCATAGTTCAAACCCTTAAAAGCTTTTGACCTATACTTCTTTACAAAATGCATACTATATTTTAAGTCATCAGTGTAAAAAGCCAAGACCAGTGCTTACAGCATACAGCTAATAGCAAATACATAAAAAAATTACATGGGCAATTTTTCATATGGTGAACAGTTGAAAACAAGTACTAATTACAAATGATGGTACATGTTTTAAACTAATGTTATCCTGTAACATATATTACTGGTATCATTGTCAGACTATCAGACGTAAATCCCCATTTTGGCAGTTAGCATGCAATGAATTTCCTAGGCATTAAAGTGATTAAGGTTTCTTTAGTCATTAAATGCTTTAAAGCTACAGGAGAAGCTTACTGCACCCAAAGAATTAATACTGGTCTTGGTAATATGAAAAAAGCTGTTGAACTTAAATGAAGAAACTGAAATGACTGGTGGCTATTTAAAGTAATTGCATGTAAACTAATAATTTCAGATGCAGAAACAGTTTCACAATGAAATCTCTTGATGACATAATGTTTGCATACATTTGTATGCAAATAAACTGGTCAGGCATTCAGATAAATTACTTGGGATATGGCTTGATTCTGTCACATGAAGAAAAGAATAAAGGCAATTGAATACACAAAAAATCTCCCAAAAATATTATTCAGTATATGCCAATAATTTAAACCACCTATTTTATCATGAAGATATAAATTTATAAAATTTTTGATTGGTAGGAATGGGAGCACAGAGCCGTATAATAAACTCATCTCTTAGTTATTATATCAGATCTTAATAGATGTAGGGAGAACTGTCTACATGCATATTTTCCAAAGTCTTTGTTGTTTTACAGAAAACTTTATTTGCACTAGCAAAAGCTGAAGACAAAAATAATCACCAACAGTTAGAGGAATAGAGGAATTCTGTGTATGCAATTTGTACTTACCTTTGTTTATAAAGATAAAAGCCAAAACCAGCAAATATAAGGGCAAAGAAAGGCACAAGGATAGCAATGGCCACTGAACTACTATTTGTACCATGTGGTTGATTAGAAGAATTTGAACCCTCAGACATGTTAAGACCTAAAAAACAATAAGAAAACACAAGTAATATATGTGTATGTTATCAGCAGCACATACTACTCCATAATCTTTGGAATTCAATAACATCTTGTTACTGGGTCATCATCATATGTTCTGCTGCATGCATAAAGCTGTATGCTGAGGCCACCTGGAATCTTAATATATACCATATTCCAATTAATATGTGGATGCCACATGTTGGCAGAACAGTACACCTAGTCTGGTACAGTAAATATCTCACAGCATAATTCTGCATTTGATTCAACATTGGTATGTAATGAAAACTCATTACTGTACTGTGATACAAAAATTCAAATTTATAATAATGTATATGTTAGATTGATTATAGTACTGGTTTTATTTGTGTATTTCATTAATTAATAAATACTACTATATAAAACACAAACATGCTATCAAGGAAAAGGTCAATCACCTGAAAAGGCAAATTTAAACTCATTATTTCCTTAGGTGCTACTACTGATACACAGAGTGAAAGAGATAGGAACAATTTTGAATAGCTAAAGACAGATATTGATTAAAAAAAATAGAAATATGACCTCCTGCTTGGCTGAAGAATACATTACTTACATTATCTACACAAACAAATTATACCCCTTTTAAATGTAAAGAAAAATTATAACAATGACCCAGACATTATAAAAAAATTCTTTACAGAAAGAATGTTTGGGCATTGGAATGGGCTGCCCAAGGAAGTGGTGGAGTCACCAACCCTGGAGGTGTTTAAGGAAAGATGGGATGTGGCACTCAGTGACACAGCTTAGTTGGTAAGGTGATGCTGGGTCATAGGTTGGACTTGATGATCTCCAAGGTCTTTTTCAAGCAAGCTGATTCTGTGATTCTCAAACACATCTTCAAAATTAATTTTCAAGATTTTTAACTGGATCTTTTATGAATTGCTTATGTCATCATGTTTTCTGACTTTCTTGACTGTATAAGACAATATACAGAAATTAAAAAAAAACCCACAAAAAAGACCTCAAACAACCAACTATGTGAACAAAATCTGTTCAAATATTGTGAATTTCTTTATAGTGATATTATTGACTAGCTACAATTAAATCTTGTATACAATTTTAATTTGAATCATTCTTTTCCTTGAAGTTATACACCAATTAAAATTGTCTTCAATAGATTACATAAAAAAATGTCAAGCATATAATTCAAAAATCAAATGAAGAAATAAAAATTTTGCAATAATCTATCAAAATAATTTGCTAAGGAAGTATTGCATTTTAATTTTCTTAAATGACTCAAATAATTTTAAGAAGTTAATAAAAGGAAATAACTTCTTATATTAAAGAAAACATTTCTTGATAAAGATATTTCTAAAAATTCTTTCAAAGTAATTTGCATATAAAAATACAGTGAAAAACAGGATCAGTATATTTTGACTTAGAACTGTGAAAAGAGAAAAATTTGACTTTACATTCCTTCTTTCCAGCACATTCAAGAATTATAGAATTATCTGATTTCACTGAAAAAAAATAAAAATAAGAATGGATCTTTGTGGCTGAAAGAACATAATTTTCCATTCACATATAGGAATTTTACCTGGAGGTAAGAATTCTTTCTAAATAGCTATTATATTAGTGAAAAAGAAGTCCTCTTCTAAGGCATTCCCAACAGTATTTTATTATTATTTATTATTTTACCAAATTTAAAATTTGGTATAAACTAAATTCAAATTCTCATGGAAGGAGAAATATCACAGTTCTTAAGACAGCATTAGAAAAGAATATTAAATTCTTTTCCTAATTAACACAACAAAATGTTATCACCAGAGCTCTGTAACCAAAGCTCTCTTAGTATAGAAACAAGAAGTTAATTTTTAGGAAATAAAAACTTATCAAGTAACATTTTTTCTTCTTAAAAGTAATATACATATTTACCTGCAAATATTTAGCTGTTTCCCTCTTTTAACAAATGTTTAGGTGAAATGATGTTTCAGCACCATAAGCAAGAAATCAGTTTATCAAAACATTCTACAACATGGGTTTTCTAGATCGTTATTAAGATATGAAACTAAATGCATTTTACATATAATTGGAGAAAAAAACTGCTCAAAATATTACAAATAAATATGTATACTAGGCAATAGACTGCGAGTCATCTATAGCTCCTTACAACTTATTTGTAACTACCACTTAAATGACAGTTTAATGATATTAATATCTCAATAATCTTTACCCTGGATGAATCCTTGAAAAACATACGTTGCTCCATCAGGTTCAGCAGAAACCTGTAAACAAAAAGTACTTAGAATTAAATGTGGAAAACTTGGTTTCAAGTTACATGTATCTATTTGAGAGGGAGCTATTCTATTTTATATCATAATATGCTTGACTGGTAGCTGTTATTCCCCACTACAAACACCTCTTTTTCTAGGAAATTTATATATAAAGTTCAAAAGAAAAGACAAGACTGTTATAGGCACGGCTTAGACTTGCTGGTTTATGGTCCATATGACACCTTATACTGCCTTTAACTGTATTTTTTTAAAACCACTCAGACTTGAAGTTTCTGGTAGTTCAAATGTCACCATTTCTAAGCTCTTATATACTTCATAACTTTCTGTTTTGTTTTGGAAGTAGATTTAAAAACTTATATTGCATATAATCCTAAGGATGCAAGTATTGAGGTTTTAATACTTAGTTTTAAACGAATTTAGAAAGACCTCAAATTAATTGAAAGTTCTTTTGATTATTCTCAGTGCCTATCCAGATAAGCACTTAATTATACAGCTGTGGACCATAAGAATGAGGGCAAAATATGCTACTAAAAACTAAAAGGCTTGTGGGAGGGAGGGGACTGGTTGTGATCCTATGATTATCTCTCTTATTATAGTAAGTACAGTCTAAAGTAGTGTACTATATACAACTTGTCAGATACTTGCATCTAAGAATAGTTATTAGGTTTAAATTCAGTGTTTTCTAGGTAGAAATTTCCTTCAATCTTTTCCCTTAAGCTTCCCAACTTCTCAAGACACAGCATGTCTTCAGCAGTGACCTGAAGCTATGTTTTCACTGAAGACCCAGTGCCTCTCTTAGGTGATTTTTTTACTTTGGGCTAAAGCAGCCTCTTTGTGCTATTCCAAGACTCAAAGAAAAAAAAAAGTCAAGTAAGAACAGTATGTAAATAGCATATAGAATGTAGGGAGTATACTGTCTACTATTGTAAATTTAGAAATCTGAAAGTAAATTCTTTGCTTTTGCTAACTCAGGAGCATGTTTGTGAAGCCTAAAGTTTGTACAAGCCAAAAGTGTTAAGCCTTTTCACTAGTACATTTATTGCTTAATGAGTTTAGTTTAAGATTTTCATTCTGCACCTTTTAAAAAATACATTGTTCAACCAGTTATAAAAAAATGTAATAGTGCTTAACCTTAGTGCTTAACCAATAGGTGAAAAATAGGAAAACAAATAAATTCCTTAAAAAATCAGATGGTGTAAGTATGAATGAATGAGTGTTTATCCTCACACATATAATTTTAGGCTCTTTGTTTTCTAAAAAAATCTACTTTTTTTCTCTATCTACTCGTGGAAGTCATTTTCATGGTTTAATCACATCCCAGAAACCCGGGCTATTTAACCCTCTCCTTTACCTCCCCTCCTCCCAGTTATGTGCTTTCTTCCTCTGTTTTAAAGAATAAACTCAGACCCAGAACCTAAAGGGCCTAATGCTAAATTGGAGTATTCTATTTTGTTTTCTATACATATATATACCACATACATGTGACAGGGCATCTTTTTCAAGGTATTTATAAAACTCACCAAAAAATAAAACATGTATGCTAATATAATGATCAAAATTGTTATTGTATTAATATAATATTACTATAAAATGTTTTTTTTAATTATGATAAAATTTTAAAATATATTGTAATAAATAGACCTATAAGAAAGACTTCTGTAATAACATGCATTTTAATTTTGCCTACACTCTATGACTGTTCCAATATTTTCCCTCAGACTGATCACCTGCATTTAACAAGAAAATTTTCATGTAATTTAATGAATCAGCCTTGCTAAAAAGATTCCATTTGATATGTCTCAGGATTTTTTGGATTTAAAAACCAGCACGATTTCAATAAAAAAAATTTCCCTCTCTGTTGTAGCAGAAATATACTCACAAAACCATCCATAGCCCATTTTTCCTCTTTCAACTTGCTTGCAGATGTATGGGAGGGTGCTTTAATGAGATATATGTGGAGCATTAGCCGAGCTTCCTGGCTTTTATACACTCCTGTAGAATATAGTTTTAAAAAGTCACATTTCTGCTGACTAGAAAAATGATGTCATCTTTGAAAATAAACACATCACCTCTTGTCTTAAAGAGGAAAAGCAGGAAGAATAAGCACCAATGTCAACATTGTTTGTTTAGAAAGATGCACTCTATTTTGAAATTATTTCAATAATCACAAGATTTCAACAGAAACAGTTTTTAGCTTAGCCTGTAGAGAGGAGAGAAGGGAAACCCCATACACACAGCTGTTACTTCAAGCCTTAGGCAGAACATTGACAGCAATCTGATTTGAAATGGAAAAATATTGTTCTGAATCAGGAAGAGTGTATATAAACATCACATCCCTACTTTCAATATATAATTTAGTCATTACATATAAAACATGATAAAGGAACATCCACACACAAATTCTATTCCAAAAGCTGCTGCTAAATTGAAAAGAAAAAAAAAATATTTTTTATGATTGGATTGTTCTTCATCAGTTAGTACAGTCAGTTACAAGAGAGTTTCTTTCATATAATGAGAAGACTCATATGCAACCTTATTTACTTTGTAGACATAATTATTGACTCATTTGTGTTCCTGAAGAATAATTATATAGAACCCAAATATCATTATTTGTTAATTAGGAAATGAAAATAAAATACCACAATATGTTTGGTGATTTCATCTTCCATTGGCAATGATTACAAATTCATAATTTCTTGTGTACATTCCTAAATTGAAAAAAATAAAAGTGTTCTCCACATTAAGGATTGGTGACTGCCCTATAGGAGGTATCATTACATACAAATAATTTCTGAGCTAATGAGAAGACTTACTTTCATGTTAAACCACTAAGCCCAAATGAATGAGCTTTGGCAATATGGGTTTATTCTATGAATAATTACAGTAAGCAGAGCTGTCAAAATAAAAAGAATTAAAAATAGATGCATCAAATGATGGAATGCAAAAGAGTAAATTATACAGGAGGATGGATCTACTTTTCATTTGAGAAAACTACAAACTGAGTATAGGTGAATTCAGCTTCCTAACATGTAAATGTATTTTTTGATCCATCTCTATTTCCCTGGCCCTAAGATACCTTATCTGTACATAAGATCTCAGTGTTCTATCTGTAGAACAGGGAAATAAAAAAATATTAATTACCTGATGAGATGTGTAATGCCTGTACGTAAAGTGGAAAAGGCATTTGGAATCACTCATTGACTGAGTTGAAGGGACCTTTTATTTGGAGGAGTGTTTTGGGCGAGAAAACACAGCAGTTTACTTTCCTAATTCTAAAAATACAAAATACTACACCTGTTGTTCCTAATATCATCACAGAAATTACATGGATGAAATTAATACAATAGAAAAAATTCTCACACAGCCAAGACAAACATGGTTATCAATCAGAAAACATTCAGTCCACTCCCAAGCATGATTCCTCAAAGGAAACCTACAAAATAATTTAACAGACAAACCTAGTGATAAAAATTTGCCACTCTACTCAATACTGGGAAATAAGATCTCAGCAGAAACACAGATTCTGTGATTCATTACATCCTTCCTGTAGACCACCCCTCTCAACCACCAGGAGATCAGGCCCAGCCAAAAAAGCTTATGAAAAGCAGATCTTGCTTGACTACTCTGGGCTCCTTCCATGATAAGGTGACTCAGTGGATGAAAGAAAGGCTGTGGGTGCTGTCTCACTGAACTTTTTAATAAAGACTTTGACACCATTTGGAACAGAATCCTTCTGGAGAAACAGACTGCTCATGGGTTGGACAGGTGCACTCTTCACTGAGTAAGAGGCTGACAGGCTGGATGAGCTGAGAGATTTGTGTCGATTAGTGTTATATTCAGTTGGTGGCCAGTCACAACTGGTGTTCCCCAGAGCTCAGTGCTGTGTCCAGTCCTGTTTAATATCTTTATCAACAATCTGGATAAAGTACACTCAGTCATTTTGCAGATGACACCAGGCTGGGCAGGAGTGTTGATGTGCTGGAGGGTAGGAAGGCTCTGCAGAAGGATTTGGACAATTTGGGTCAATAGGCCTGCACTTGGGTCACAACAACCCCAGGCAACTCTACAGGCTTGGGAGACCCTGGGGGTGCAAGCATGGCTGAACATGATCCTTCAGTGTGCTCAGCTGGCCAAGAAGGTCAATGGCACAATGGTTTAGGGTGGGCAGCAGCACCAAGGCAGTGATCATCCCCCCATATCTGGCACTGGTGAGGTCACACCTTAAATCCTGCATTCAATTTTGGGACCCTCTTTACATGAGAGACATGGAAGTGCTGGAGCATGAGACGGGAAATGGAGCTGGAGAAGGGTCTGAAGTACAAGTTTTATGAGGAGAGTCTGAGGAAACTTGGGTTGTTTAGTCTGGAAAAAAAGGATACTGAAAGGAAGCTACATCCTCTCTTCAGCTACATGAAAAGAAGTTGAAGCAAGGTGCCTTTTGATGCTTTTCTCAACCAGCAAGTGTTCAGATGAAAGGAAATAGCTTCAAGGTGTGCCAGAAGAAGTTTAGATTGGATCTTATGAAAAAATTCATCACTGAAAGGGTTGTCTGGCATTGGAACAGGCTGTCCAGGGTGTCACTGACAGGTGACTGACAGGTGCAGTCACTATCCCTGGGAGTATTTAAAAGATGTATACATGGGGCACTTTCAAAGACATGGTTCAGTGGTGGAATTGGCAGTATTAGATTAAATTGGTTATCTTAGGTTTTTTTGACCAAAACAATCCTATGATTCTAAATTTTTTTTTCTTACTTAGAAAATCTAACAAGTGTCAGCTCTGGTTTCTTCCCATGTTCATTAGGTATCTCTGACCTTCTAGGTCAACATATGGCTACTGTGGTGAAATTTTATAAATACAAATTAAGAGAATCACAGGAACAGTACTTGAGAATTATTTAAAATGTTTAAAAGAGAAACATGATAATTAATATGATTATTTTACTCACTGACTCTTAACTCCAAATATATTAAAAACCTGGAAAAGTAAAAACAAAACAACCAAGGGGAAGGAAAGAAGTGGAAAAATCCCTATATTTGAAAAGGAGCTGAAATGCAATGAAAATTTATTTGATAATGAAATTTAAGTTATGTAGCAAATTGCAGGATACCAATGTACGTAAGACAGAACAATAAAAAAAAGAAAGGACATTTGTTTTCTTTAGCACATACCTGATAGCAGCAATTCCATATTGCTGTTTGTCAGTGTTGCATTTACTCTTCCTGAAGTTGCATTGAAACTGGTGACTGTTAATGTCATGGGTTGCTTCTTGCTTTTGTAATTGTAAGATCCTTTCCATATATAATTTTGGGCAAATACATCATCAGGAACTATTCAGATGAAAACATGTTTCAATACATTTTACGATATTCAGTACTTAAAAAGTCAAATAACCAACAAAATGTATGATAAATATGATTTTCTTTGCTCTTTTTAAATATACTAGGCATAATTTTCAGATATAAAACATAGAAACCTGGCATGAACTTTTATGAAATAAATGTATTTGCACTGAAGAACACAACTACAACTACATCTTCAATTGCCTTTTTGCTAAAATATGGACGTGTCCCAGAGTTAACCAGTTTCACAAATTCTAAAAGCTTAAGCCAGAAGATCGCATTCCACTCACTGTAGAATGTTTTCTGTGCCAGCACAGAAGCTAGGGACGTATGGCTAGCATTGAATTTTGCAGAAATTAGTATCTATTTAGATATAAAAAAAAATATATAGCTGTTTTCTTTAAATGACATTAAATATTATAAGCATTTTCTTTGTCAACTAGTCAATTTTTTTAAATGAAAAAAATATATAAAATGTTTTGTCTTTTCAAATGCTTAAAAACACTATGAGCTTCACCAAGAGAAAAAAAAATCTCTAATATAAAATTTAAAACAGATCATAGTCTGCTGGGGAATAAATATGCTAGATTTATACCCTCACATTCAATACTTATCATTAGCAAATTGAAAAATTATTAATTTAAGTAATGCTATTTCAGTAAAAAAAAAAAAAACCACCAAAACAACAAAAAGCTACCTATGATGTAAAAACTGATACATGCAAGTCTTTAAAATCTTAACATAAGATACCTTTCAAACAATGAAATTAAAAGTGATTAGGATGGGCTTACTACACTTTCCAAAGTAATGTATTGGAGTTACAGAATATAAGAATCACTATTTAAAATCAGCACTTGCACATTTTTTGAAGTAATTCACACCAAACTTAAAGCTCTGTATTCATGTGTGCATTGGCATCTCATGTCAGATAAGCAGAGAACAACCTCTGCTCTTTTCTCTCTCAAGCACCTCTAAATCCAAGACTGGGGCACACTGGAATACTCACAGTTTTCCTTCATCATTTATTTTATGCAATACAAAGACAGATCTTCTCCATGAAGGGTGAAGAAGCTTTCCTAGTTTTTCTGTCTCTGTATGTGTATTTATATTTGTATGTGTTTGTTCAAAAAACAAGTAGATACCAGACCCACAAGCAAGGAAATTTCATGGTGGAAATGCTCCGATGCTGTTGATTTCTAATCTGCCAGAAATATATTTTCCTACTTTTATGAAAACTGATCTTTTTGTGTTATATTGGCAGTTAATTGGGATTGCAAAAAATAAATGAAAATTTTATGAATTAAAAATTTGACGTCTAACATTCAGCAGCACATCATTGAAAAACACTGTTTTGAGCTAGTACACAAAATGTTAAAAAAAAAAAAAAAAAAAGCCCCCAAATCCCCATATGCTAAGGTACTGCTTTTAAATCTTATTCAATATCATAGAAACTCAATAGGTTTATTACAGCCAAAAGTTAACTTTAGTTAAGTAGACCACTCTTTTCAAAAAATCTCTTCAGACAGACAGTTTCTCTTGTCAAGACATACAAATATGGTCTTCAGCAAATCTGTTAAAACTGGAGACTTTAGACAGATTTGGAGAGATTACCTTGTCTCAGCTAAAATCAGCTTATTTTCTAAAGGCTAAGTTCAAGGCTAATACTAAGTATTTAGGTAAAGCAATTTAAATTACTGATATGTAAAAAAAGTGCAGGACTGAAGAAAACTGAAAAATATCTTGAAATTATTACAAGGTGAGTAGTACAGTTTGTAAATATGTAAATTGCATAGAATCTTATACAGTGATTTTAGTGAAACCAATAAAATTTTCATCACATAACAGAAATTGTATATAGATATAAACTATACCATATGGTAGATGGACTTCAAAATTAGGGAATAATTTAATTATCTTTTCCCCCTTGTTAATCTAGTGCCTAATCTAATATCCTTTACCCATTCTAAATCACTCAGTGCAATCTCATTAAACTGATCCTCTTTTTTTTTTTCTGCAGAAATTGTTTATAACAATATAAACCTTGGAGTACTTACCACTTAGTTTGGGACTTGGTGTTCCCAATGCTGGTCTGGGATCCTTCACTAATATTTTAGAACCAGCTATTAGAAAGAATAAATGATATAAAGATAAATCAGCAGCAAAATGTTACTCAGAAACAAAGAAAATAACTTCCATCATAAAAATTATTTGTTAAAAAGCATATGGGATGATGTTTAAAACTCAAATACAAATGAGATTTCAGCTGGCATCAAACCTCGGTATCACAGGAGCACTTGCACACAAATTTATTCTGTTCCTCCATATCCTCCTAAATCATGCACCTGGATGTTATTAAGTCATTTTCAGCAGTCAGACAGTGCAGGGTTTCACTGCAGAATCCACATATCAGGATTTACAGTCCTGGACCATGCACCTAATATGGTACATGGTGAGATGCCTCCTAATATAACATCTAATCCTGGCCTTGTCCCTCAGATTACAAACAGCAAACAGAGCATTGACTGCAATGTAAGACCAAAAAATGGAGATACACATAACCAAAGGGAGCTTGAAAGCCTTTGTCTCCAGGACTTAACTATCTTCAGCATTACTGAGCAAGACATCTTGTACTAAAGACTGAAAACCCATAAATGCTGCCTTAATCACTTAATACTGAAGGAGAAGGTCCCTGATTATTTAAAGGATAACAAGAGAAAGAAAGAAACAAAAAAGGCTGTCCACAGTATCTCCATCTGCTCAGGTGAATCGAGAACTGGAAGTTGGAGAATATAATTTCTTCTCTGCTTAGAGCAGGAACTCTCCTATCATTGAAGATCATGAACTAAATTAGGACTAGGACATTATAATTTCCTGGATATTAAGCTGTTTTGCTTTGGAGAAACTAATTCAGATTCACTGGAACATAAAGAAGACAAATAATTCTGTCTCCTAATATAAAATATTCTCATGTAGCACTACACTCAATTTCTTGCTCCAACTGTGATTTCAATGTTTTGTATTTTGGGTCTTGGGCTTGAACCCAGGCCTTTTCTCTCTGATCCATGTTCTAAAAAATTACACAAGAAAAGAAACTACCTTCCCCCTGAGCTGAGTATGTTTATGCATAAAAAGAAAACTTTTGCAAGGGCTCAGAATATTTTTATTGAGAATAAATTTTAGCTTTTTCAAAAGGTCTTTTCTTGTCACATATGTTAAAATGGTAAAGAAGCAAGGGCGGGGGTTGAAATACAGCCTAAGGTTCTCATAGACTGTTACTACTGACAGATTAACCTCTATTTCCTCTCTGTTTTGAAAGAAACTTACTGAGCTTCACTGTACATTGTTGACCTGGGGGGCATGGTTCAACAGCATATACTTTCTGACTACATAAAGTTCAGGTTAGAAGTTTCTGGATCACATTTTCCAGGTGGGCTTTAGCATAAAAAGGTGATGAGTCAATTTGCCTTGTCAAGTTGAATAAATTTCTAGTCAAGTCTACAACTGAAATTTGAAACACCAGATAAAACTTAAATACAAATGTTAGATACAAATCCCAAACTAAAACTAGTTAACTACGAAGTTTAAGTTTCTAGGTCCAGATATTTGAGTAGGACTTTCAAGATTTCAATTTTGTATTTAAAGGATCAAATCCTAATTTAGTTCCCCTACACATCCCTTTAGAGCTCTCAGCTCCAAATGTTTTATTCCTTTTCATCTATTTCCAAGTTATTTTTGGGAAGTTCACAATAAGAGGTGAACTTCTTTCAACAGCAGCAGCAGAAAATTTTTGAATCAAAATACAATCAATGAATCACATTTGGCCTGCTGTAATACTTTCCAACTACTGAACAAGTCATAAGGTTCCTGGCTGCTAGCTTTCTAGCACTTTTCCAAAGCTCTCTTTTATTTTTCCCCCAGCACTTGCCTGGCATGCAAATCCAGGACACCTGTTCTTTAGTAATACAAACTATTAATTTCCTATTTCCCTTCCAAGTAGCAATGTTTGGCTACAAAGCCTTTGAACGCCTCTCTAAAAGCCCTGGGGATAACCACATCTGAAGCATTAGGTAACAGTAATCTGAAAAGGCCTTTAATTATTCAGGAAATAAAATTGCAAACAGTTCCTACACTTGAGTATATTCCTTATCTCACATGAAAACCACCTTTCTCACCGTGACTTGGCTATGGTGTTTTCATGTCCTATAGTGACAAAGTGGGTACTAAAAATTAGAAAAAAATTAAAGGTTGGAACAGCAAGGACAAAGTAGATACATTTTGTTTTCTGTAGTAGTATATATATTCCATATATATTATATTGTATAGTACTATACAGTTCCTTACATAAAAATATAAAATAATAATAAGCTCTATGAATTAATTTCACACAGTGATTCAGACATCTTTTTGGACTTCAGGCGTCTTTTCCAAAAATTACTACAGAATAATTCAATCATTTAGGTTGGAAAAGATCTCTATGATCTTAGAGCCCAATAGCTAACCTAACAAAACTAAGTCCTTCACTACATTATGGCTCTAAATGCCACATCCACACATCTACCTCCACCGCTTCCCCAGACAGCATGTTCCAATGCTTGACAATCCTTCCTAATTTTTCCTAAAAATTTTTCATAATGTCCAACCTAAGCCTCACCTGGCAGCTTTAGGCCATTCCCTCTCATCACTTGTTAATTTGAAGAAGAGACCAACATTCACCTTGCTACAACCTGTTTTCAGGTAGTTTTAGAGAGCAATAAGGTCTCCCCTCAGCATCCTTTTCTCCAGGATAAAGACCTGCAATTTCCCCAGCCTCTCATAAGCCTTGTGCTGCAAACCTTTCACCAGCTTCATTCCTCTTCCTTGGGAACAGTCCAGTACCTCAATATCTTGGAGTGAGGAGTCAAAAATTGTACACACTATTCAAGGTGTGGTCTCACCAGTGCCAAGTACTGAGAGACCACTAAGCAGGTCACTTTGTTATAGAGGGAGATTTGGTTCATCAAGCAGGACCTGCCTTCCATAAAACATGCTGACTGGGCCAAATCAAATTGTTGTGTGCATGTGCCAACTGCAAGTAGAGAAAAGCAGTGAAATACGACAGATGGCACATGCAGTGGGAAACAGAAGAATTTACCTTCACAAACTGGAACCTTCCCAGTCCATGTGCCATCAGACCTACAGGCTCTGTGCTCTGATCCACCAGCCAAGAAGAAGCCTGGCTGACAAGTGTAAATCAATGTATAACCAAGTGATGGGAGATCCATTCCTGCAACATTAGCATGACTTGGTGTTTCTGGTTGTTTACAGCTGTGAGCTAGAAAGAAAAGATAAAACATTCTTATGTCAAAATGGTGAAAATATTTCTGAAAAGATAATATATGCCCATTCTGACAGTTAACTAACAAAGTGAAAAATCAATAGGAATTACATATTAATATATTTTAATTCACATTATAAATTACTATATAGCCTATAAAATATCACTGTGAGTCTATAAATGCACACTTAAGCATGAAACTTTCAATTCCAAGGGACCAAGAACAGACTTAAATGTACCTGCATGAACAAAATATTGTCTGCATATGAGAACAGAAACAGCACACCTCATACCAGACTTGAAAGCAATCACTACTAGTGATTTACATAATTTATCCTATTTATGTATATATGTTATACATTGTATTACAGTAAGTAAATGGTGAGTTGGAAAACACTATGAAAGATAAAGGAGAAATTGAAATTGAAGGGGAGTTGTAAATATCAGATAAATTTAGTTACCATTTCTAATGTCATATGAAGAGTCTTATATATTTTACAATCACCAGAATGTGGGATTTATGTGTTATCTCAAAGACAGCATACCTCCAAGAGCAGAGTTCACCTTTCAACACACTGAGCTACTGTTTTGCAGTTAGCTTATGATTAACCCTAGCACCAGCTGAGACAATAGTACTGCTCTTTCCTTCTGTGGATATGTTCTCCATTCACTGAAGTGATTCTATGTGGTCAGACCTTACAAGGTAAGACTATTTCCAGAAAAATACAGCAGACTAACTGAACTACAAAGATTAACCATGATCTTACATCTTCAGTAAATGACCATTGTTTACCAAAGTGTAAAAGATGGATGAAATGAAGTGCTGTTGTCCATACTCTAAGAAGATTCTATTTCAAATTCGAATATTTCTGATTGAAAACACTTTTTTCCCATCTTTACACTTTTTACTTCCATCTTAAAATACCATGACTCCTTGGCTGGGAAACAGTTCAAACTCCTTAAACTCCTTACTGGAACTGATTTTAATTATATGCTTTTCTGCATATTTTAGAATAAGGCTTTCTGATATGTCCTATTCTCACCATCTCCTGAGTTGGAAGGGTTGCACCCTCTTAGATAGAAGATCTGACTATTTTCTCTCTCTATTTTTTTTATTTTTTTTTTATTTTTAGTTCTATTGTTTTTTATATGAAAATTCACTCAGAATCATATTTCTAGCTGCTGAAAGCTAGTAGTACAAATTTCTGTTAACTTTCAGTTAATAAAGTTATGTAACTTAATGACAATGTTACTGCAGCTAAATAATCTAGATTAAAAAAACTGAGAAAAGGAAAAAAAAAATAATTTCTTACGTATACATTCTGGCTGGATTCCACTCCAAGTAAGATCAGGAAGGCAAGTTCGTGTTGTTGAGCCATGGAGCAGGTGTCCTTTTTTACACTGAAATTGAACAACATTTCCCACCTGTTGAAAAGTAGAAAACACAGTAATATTTTTATGAGCAACTATCAGCTGGGATTTTTTTTTCCTAAATTTTATCACTCCTTCACATAATACAGACTTGATAAGTTGTGATTCTCTTTCTCTGGAAAGTAAATTAATTTCACAGAACAATTTGATATGAAATAAAAAATTGCTTTGCTCCCAGTAGAATTACTCTCCCCCCAAAATTAGATCCTACATGGAAGAAAATCAAATCTTCATCTTCTGTGGTCTCTCTAGTGTGTTGCTTTGGGCCTGGAACAGTTGATGAACTGAGTTTGGAAACAAAGCTTATGGTGCCTTCCCCACTCTGGACCAAAGGAATGCCACTTGGGCAAAATTACCACAAATGAGGCAAGTCACAGAATTGAAATAGGTATTAGATTCTGCTGGACTTTTGCTGAACCAGATCCCCCTTTGGGAAATGCTGGATATAGTCACAGGTTATAATGATAAATATTTGATTAGAATAGACAATGCTGGTCAACAGCACTGTCTTATGCTTCAGAATGTTCCTATGACATTTTAATTTTGTTTTTTGATGAGGAGAGGTAAAGAATAACAGCTCTTTATGCCACTTTGATAATAGAAGCTGGAACACAAGTACATTACAATTTACAATAGCAATTCATCCGAGATTAGCTTTTAATTATTATCTTTATTATGGGTATGTGTTGCATAAAAAGGAAAATAGAATTCTTACAGTTTCTGCACAAACATAAAATGGAATAACTTGTTCAGCATGTCCAGTCATGGTGAAATTGATGAAAATGCAAATAATTCTTAGTTTCCATCAAAAGCGAGGAAATTAGATTAGAAGTACATGATTCAGAGAGCATTGTATTACATAGTTTGAGTGGTTAACTCAAATATTAAGGTGCATAGATTGTATCTACTGTTCTGCAGTGACCTGTATTAATATATTTATCAACTCATGTTTAAACAAGTAGTTGAAAACTTTAAACTATCTGTGACAGCACATTTATAGTTCTAGTTTGGGTTTTATATTTTAATTATTTTGTTTAAATGCATAACACTTGATTCAGACTGATGTTCAAAGTGTGGATTCTTTCTAGATAGCTTACTACTATGAAACAGCATTTCACTGCTACAAGTATTAATTTGAAACTTTATAGAACTATTCCATTTCAGCTCAAGTTTCTCATCAGAATGAAATTTAATAATAACTCATGAACTACAGATAGTAGCTCATCAACACAGGATGTGATTTAAAATTCATCTCCCTTTATTTTGCTCTTTTCTGTGCTCACTGGACTATGTAATTACTTTTAAAAGATTTTGAAGGAAATACACTAAATCACTTGCATGATTAAGCACAAAGTAGTAAAATACTACAAGTTTTAGAAATTGCTCCATGTAGCTGTAGAAGCTTTTTTTTTTTTCCTTTTCATGGTAAAGATCTCAGTTAAAACACTCAACATAAATATATTACTTTAAAAAATACTAGCCTTAAGGAAAGTGTGTTTATATGACTACATCAGTGGACAAGGGAAGCACTACAGATTTCATTTTTCTGGACTTCTGTAAAGCCTTTCACAAGAGCTCACCACAACATCCTTCTCTCTAAATTGGGCAAAGATGGAATTGATCAGAGGACTGTCAGATGGATAAGAAAGTGCTTGGATAGTCACATCCAGAGAGTAGTGGTGAATGTCTTAGAATCCCAATGGACAACAATGACGTAAGGTGTCCCTCAGGGTTCAATATTATTTAATGGCTTCCTTAATGACACAGGTGAAGGGACTGAGTGCACCCTCAGCAAATTCACAGATGACACCAAGCTGAGTGGCATGGGTGACACATAGGAAAGATGGGATCTATCCAGAGGGACCTGGACAAACTTAAGAAGTGGCCTGTGAGAACATCCTGAGGTTTAGTAAGACCAAGCTCAAGGTGCTGCACTACACCTTATAGAAGGGGTGGGCTGGATATGAACAGATCTAGAGAAAGACTTGGGGATGCTGGTGGATAAGACTCTGGACATGAAGCAGTGATGTGCACTTGCAGCCCAAAAGGCCAATTGCATCCAGGAATACATCAAAAGCAGCATGGGGCAGCAGGTCAAGGGAAGTCATTCTGTCCCTCTGCTCTGGTGAGACATCACCCTGAGTCCTGTGTCCCACTTTGGGTGTCTCAGCACAAGAAAACCACAGACTTGTTGGAGGAAATCCAGAAGAGGGCCACCAAAATTTTCTGACGGATTGTCCTATGAGGAAAGGCTGAGAGAACTGTGTTTGTTAAGCCTGGAAAAAAGAAGGCTTCATTATGACCTAATTGTGTCCTTCTAGTAACTGAAGGGAGCCTTCAAGAAATACAGAGAAGGACTGTTTACAGACACATGCGGTGATGGGACAAGGGGGAATAGATTCAAAATAGAGTAGGTTTAGACTAGATATTAGGAGGAAGTTTTTTGTTGTGAGGGTGGTGATAGACTAGCACAAGTTGCCCAGAGAAGCTGTTGATGCCTCATACCTGGCTGTGTTCAAGGCCAGGCTGGATGGGGCTCTAACCAACCTGGTCTACTGGGAGGTGTCCCTATCCATGGCAGGGGGGCTCCAAGTAGATTATCTTGATGGTCCCTTTCAACCCAAACAATTCCATGATTTTATGGTTCATGGGTTCACAAAAAACACAACAAGCACCAAAGAAACATCAAAATGCAGCAGTTGCCGAAGGGATGAAGATGTTAAAGAAATACCGCCATGTTGTTCAAGATTACAAATAAATGAAAAAATATTACAAGTAATAAGTAAGAACAATAAATTATATTAATTAATTATATAGGATATGTATAGTTATTATTAAACAAATAAAAGTATTTTTAAAAAGTTTTGTGGTCTACTTTGCCATACTCTTGTGTCAGAGGCACCAGGTGGCGCTAAAATACAGTATTCTATGCCCATAAAATTCCCAGTCCTGAGATGATCAGATTTGCTCTAATTTTTATTCTACAGCTCAAGTGAAAACATTAGTACTTTGGGAAACACTGTTTGGATTAAAAAAAATAAAAATAGTGCTTGATCATGTCTTTTCTATAGCTGCCTTTTCTATAGTGTCAGTTATAGCTTGGGTATTCCCAAAATTAACATAATAATTAACTTTTTTCTTTTTTTTTGCAAAACCCCAAAGACTGTATAATTGTTATTTTCTAACAGGAGAAATACCAATCTGTGAGGAAAATGCATAAATATCAACATGAATCCATTTACAAAGTACTCTAGATAATTTTTTTCATCAAATAAGATGATAATAATGTATAAAAATTATCAAAATAGTAAGTTATTATCCTTCTTATTTCTTATATTCCTTATAGGAATAGAAAATACTTCTATTTAACCTCATGAGTTACTCTACAATCAATTTTTTTTTTAGATTTCAGTTCACCAGAGAACATGAAGATACTCGAATAAATTTCTCCATCCCCAGCAATTAGTGCCAAAGAATTAAGAAGCCAAGGGAATGCCAGTTATTTATCTTCAGTAACTTTTAGCATCACATTTTAAGTGAATGAAAACATACCTCATTAAGTCTTCACTATATCTCTAGTTTGGTGGCCCACTAATACATTATTGCCCTTAAAAAAGGGGTTTGAGCTTGCAATACCTCTGGGCAGAATCTTGACAGGCTTCCTTTGTCTGAAAGAGTCTTGAGCTGTCTGGAGTTTTGTGTTTGTTTTGGTTTTGTTTTGTTTTGTTTCTAAACTCACTTAGGCTTTAAAAATTAAATCTCCTATGATCAGGCAGCTATGACTGAATTTTATGCCTTTCTTTTTCTTTGTATGGTATAACCACAGACTTATATCTGTAGCAGAAAAAAAAAAGAATCTAGTATGTGCAGAATGAGCTATTTCCCATTATTGTGATGCAGTACAGAGAAATATAGGCCTGGTGCTGGAATGACAGCAAAACCCTTGAGAAATGCAGACAACAGGATGCTGTGAAGAAGACTACAGTGTGACTATGATAAAAGATGCAACACAGTCTTGGCACTGGAAATCCTGTTGCTGTGAACAACTTACCCTTAAAGACATATAGGCCTGGACAGAATCAGGTTTCAGAGGTAAAACAGAACAACTATCTAACACAGGTAACATGTACCTTATATTATAGATTGAAATATGATGTGTATAATAGTGAGCTGTGGTCTGAGTGGTGTAAAACTGTGTTAGGAACATGACAAATAACCCCAGGTGAAACATGAATGACAAACACTAAAGAAAGAAAAAGAAAAATCATATTTGTGCCAATGATGCACTCCAGATTGTGACACTAACACACTGACACCAGAGACCTCAGGACAATGAGAAGCAGGAAAATACATGGTGTCTGATATGGCTTAAATTACATTTTCATTGATGCAAAGGTGATGCCAACTGTGCTAATGGAGACAGCTATTTTGTGGTAGTAGAGCACTTCTCTTGGAACTTCATCCTTCAATCAGCACTGAAGTTTTTATAAGCATTAAATTCACAGAAGGAGATTATTTGCAAGGCTACTAACATCTGCAGATCAAGTTTCATATAGAATTTCATAAGACAGAACCCAAGAGCTAGCAGAAAGATACCACTGCTGCATTTTATCTATTTTCCTTTTTAAATTTAGACTGCTCTTTAGCTCAATTTAGGCCACAACATTAGGGAAGATAGCTGAATTTCTACAAAATATGTTGGAAAAGTAAGAGAAGTAATAAAACTTATATATATGTCTGACTGGTCTAAGCAGTTCTAAACTGTTTCTTCAGTTCAGTAGTACCTTGTGTTACAATAGCTTATGGTGAAAGTGCTATAAGCACTTTTCTATGTTTCTAGCAATACAGCTGAAGAAATATTTCAAACCCCGCAGTTTCTTTCAAAGGAGTGATTTATTTCCCAGATTACAAATGAAGTAAGTATTTTCTAAGTTATAAAGTTATTTTGTCTCCATTATAACACACTGCAAAGGTAGATCTGTCTAATAAAAATGGCTCAGATTAAAGGTAAACATCCTAGAAGTATGTATTCATAACAATTAAAGCAGATGATGCTCCTTGTTTCCATGCCATACCAGATTCCCATGTAGCACTAAACTGGTATTTTGATGTTATTTGAACATGTAAGAAACTGATCTGCTTCTGCCTGAAGAATTCAATACTGAACAATAAAGTCCATGCAAAATTCTGTTGCCTCTTTTTCTACAAAGCTCTTATTTAATAGCTGAAACATCATTCAAAAGTGATGTGATGATATTTGTGGTTTTCTTAGTGTAGGTTCCAGGAGGTCAGATTTATATATGCCTTTCAGTCAAGCCCAGAATTATCTTGTGTTTGCCTGAACTTTCAGTGCAATCAATGAGACAGGAAAACAGATAATCAAGAGTAGGGGAAAAATAGGAACAAAACAATGGTGCTGTGCAAGCTCATAACATGACATCAGTATTGTGAAAAGCAAGTGTCAATCAGTTATTTTTGTCTGATAAAAGAGGAGGTAGTGCCATTTGATAAAAAGTACTTAAAACAGGATTCCACATATGAAGACTTGAATTCTAAGTGTAAGGCTACAGCTTGGTATTTTTATGAGACAGAGAAATAAATTTAAACCTTGGCAATTAAATCAATTAAGTTACCCTATTAATATTAGTTTAAATATGAAGTATTTGAGAGAATTAAAACAAAACAAACAAAACCCAAAACAAAACAAGGAAACCCACACCTGTATTTAGGAACAATTTAGAATTACTCTTTACCTTCCTGCTATGGATAGAAGGAAAAATAACTATTATCCTATTCACACAGAGTATGAATTATAGTATAATACATTAATTTACAATATTTTTTGTGGTTTTAAAGGAGTCATAACATTATACAATATATGATAATATAATATTTCTTTCTGGGATATACAGACTTGTCCAGAACCAATCTTTTTCACAATTATTTCCATCCAGTCAAGAGCTAAGCTCAGCTTCATCTGTATGACTGATACTTCTACCCTGCTATGTATTAACTAAGCAGTCATACTTAGACTAATCAGAAGTTGCCTATTTAGTTACTACATAATATTAAATTCACTGTGTGAACATGAGCATAAGTTGCTGACTGGGTAAGGAGACTATAACACACACATCTTAAACACTGGGCACTAACCTTATAACTGTTTCCAATTTTTTTTTTTTTTTTAGAATTACAGAGTTGTAAACCCAGCCAGCACTTACACTTATTTTACAAATGATTTCTCAATTGACATTTTGCTTGATATTTTTACAGTTCCATGCTAGCTGTGATATTTTACTCACAACTACAGCACAAATGAGAGACTGCATTAGCTTCTTCAATGAAAGCTCATTGATATGNTTTTTAGGAAATAAAAACTTATCAAGTAACATTTTTTCTTCTTAAAAGTAATATACATATTTACCTGCAAATATTTAGCTGTTTCCCTCTTTTAACAAATGTTTAGGTGAAATGATGTTTCAGCACCATAAGCAAGAAATCAGTTTATCAAAACATTCTACAACATGGGTTTTCTAGATCGTTATTAAGATATGAAACTAAATGCATTTTACATATAATTGGAGAAAAAAACTGCTCAAAATATTACAAATAAATATGTATACTAGGCAATAGACTGCGAGTCATCTATAGCTCCTTACAACTTATTTGTAACTACCACTTAAATGACAGTTTAATGATATTAATATCTCAATAGTCTATAAAATGTCAATTGTTAACATCCTGCAGATACCCTCATACTACTGGATACAATAAAGCTGAATACAGAACAATGAAGTAGCAAAGAATTAGAATTTGTGGAATACCTATTCTTTGAAGCCCAAATTGTCCATAATCTTTACCCTGGATGAATCCTTGAAAAACATACGTTGCTCCATCAGGTTCAGCAGAAACCTGTAAACAAAAAGTACTTAGAATTAAATGTGGAAAACTTGGTTTCAAGTTACATGTATCTATTTGAGAGGGAGCGATTCTATTTTATATCATAATATGCTTGACTGGTAGCTGTTATTCCCCACTACAAACACCTCTTTTTCTAGGAAATTTACATGTAAAGTTCAAAAGAAAAGACAAGACTGTTATAGGCACAGCTTAGACTTGGTGGTTTATGGTCCATATGACACCTTATACTGCCTTTAACTGTGTTTTTTTAAAACCACTCAGACCTGAAGTTTCTGGTAGTTCAAATGTCACCATTTCTAAGCTCTTATATACTTCATAACTTTCTGGTTTGTTTTGGAAGTAAATTTGAAAACTTATCTTGCATATAATCCTAAGGATGCAAGTATTGAGGTTTTAATACTTAGTTTTAAACGAATTTAGAAAGACCTCAAATTAATTGAAAGTTCTTTTGATTATTCTCAGTGCCTATCCAGATAAGCACTTAATTATACAGCTGTGGACCATAAGAATGAGGGCAAAATATGCTACTAAAAACTAAAAGGCTTGTGGGAGGGAGGGGACTGGTTGTGATCCTATGATTATCTCTCTTAATTATAGTAAGTACAGTCTAAAGTAGTGTACTATATACAACTTGTCAGATACTTGCATCTAAGAATAGTTATTAGGTTTAAATTCAGTGTTTTCTAGGTAGGTTTCCTTCAATCTTTTCCCTTAAGCTTCCCAACTTCTCAAGACACAGCATGTCTTCAGCAGTGACCTGAAGCTATGTTTTCATAGCTCTCTCATAGTTTTTCAGTGCCTCTCTTAGGTGATTTTTTTACTTTGGGCTAAAGCAGCCTCTTTGTGCTATTCCAAGACTCAAAGAAAAAAAAAGGTCAAGTGAGAACAGTATGCAAATAGCATATAGAATGTAGGGAGTATACTGTCTACTATTGTAAATTTAGAAATCTGAAAGTAAATTCTTTGCTTTTGCTAACTCAGGAGCATGTTTGTGAAGCCTAAAGTTTGTACAAGCCAAAAGTGTTAAGCCTTTTCACTAGTACATTTATTGCTTAATGAGTTTAGTTTAAGATTTTCATTCTGCACCTTTTAAAAAATACATTGTTCAACCAGTTATAAAAAAATGTAATAGTGCTTAACCTTAGTGCTTAACCAATAGGTGAAAAATAGGAAAACAAATAAATTCCTTAAAAAATCAGATGGTGTAAGTATGAATGAATGAGTGTTTATCCTCACACATATAATTTTAGGCTCTTTGTTTTCTAAAAAAATCTACTTTTTTTCTCTATCTACTCGTGGAAGTCATTTTCATGGTTTAATCACATCCCAGAAACCCGGGCTATTTAACCCTCTCCTTTACCTCCCCTCCTCCCAGTTATGTGCTTTCTTCCTCTGTTTTAAAGAATAAACTCAGACCCAGAACCTAAAGGGCCTAATGCTAAATTGGAGTATTCTATTTTGTTTTCTATACATATATATACCACATACATGTGACAGGGCATCTTTTTCAAGGTATTTATAAAACTCACCAAAAAATAAAACATGTATGCTAATATAATGATCAAAATTGTTATTGTATTAATATAATATTACTATAAAATGTTTTTTTTAATTATGATAAAATTTTAAAATATATTGTAATAAATAGACCTATAAGAAAGACTTCTGTAATAACATGCATTTTAATTTTGCCTACACTCTATGACTGTTCCAATATTTTCCCTCAGACTGATCACCTGCATTTAACAAGAAAATTTTCATGTAATTTAATGAATCAGCCTTGCTAAAAAGATTCCATTTGATATGTCTCAGGATTTTTTGGATTTAAAAACCAGCACGATTTCAATAAAAAAAATTTCCCTCTCTGTTGTAGCAGAAATATACTCACAAAACCATCCATAGCCCATTTTTCCTCTTTCAACTTGCTTGCAGATGTATGGGAGGGTGCTTTAATGAGATATATGTGGAGCATTAGCCGAGCTTCCTGGCTTTTATACACTCCTGTAGAATATAGTTTTAAAAAGTCACATTTCTGCTGACTAGAAAAATGATGTCATCTTTGAAAATAAACACATCACCTCTTGTCTTAAAGAGGAAAAGCAGGAAGAATAAGCACCAATGTCAACATTGTTTGTTTAGAAAGATGCACTCTATTTTGAAATTATTTCAATAATCACAAGATTTCAACAGAAACAGTTTTTAGCTTAGCCTGTAGAGAGGAGAGAAGGGAAACCCCATACACACAGCTGTTACTTCAAGCCTTAGGCAGAACATTGACAGCAATCTGATTTGAAATGGAAAAATATTGTTCTGAATCAGGAAGAGTGTATATAAACATCACATCCCTACTTTCAATATATAATTTAGTCATTACATATAAAACATGATAAAGGAACATCCACACACAAATTCTATTCCAAAAGCTGCTGCTAAATTGAAAAGAAAAAAAAAATATTTTTTATGATTGGATTGTTCTTCATCAGTTAGTACAGTCAGTTACAAGAGAGTTTCTTTCATATAATGAGAAGACTCATATGCAACCTTATTTACTTTGTAGACATAATTATTGACTCATTTGTGTTCCTGAAGAATAATTATATAGAACCCAAATATCATTATTTGTTAATTAGGAAATGAAAATAAAATACCACAATATGTTTGGTGATTTCATCTTCCATTGGCAATGATTACAAATTCATAATTTCTTGTGTACATTCCTAAATTGAAAAAAATAAAAGTGTTCTCCACATTAAGGATTGGTGACTGCCCTATAGGAGGTATCATTACATACAAATAATTTCTGAGCTAATGAGAAGACTTACTTTCATGTTAAACCACTAAGCCCAAATGAATGAGCTTTGGCAATATGGGTTTATTCTATGAATAATTACAGTAAGCAGAGCTGTCAAAATAAAAAGAATTAAAAATAGATGCATCAAATGATGGAATGCAAAAGAGTAAATTATACAGGAGGATGGATCTACTTTTCATTTGAGAAAACTACAAACTGAGTATAGGTGAATTCAGCTTCCTAACATGTAAATGTATTTTTTGATCCATCTCTATTTCCCTGGCCCTAAGATACCTTATCTGTACATAAGATCTCAGTGTTCTATCTGTAGAACAGGGAAATAAAAAAATATTAATTACCTGATGAGATGTGTAATGCCTGTACGTAAAGTGGAAAAGGCATTTGGAATCACTCATTGACTGAGTTGAAGGGACCTTTTATTTGGAGGAGTGTTTTGGGCGAGAAAACACAGCAGTTTACTTTCCTAATTCTAAAAATACAAAATACTACACCTGTTGTTCCTAATATCATCACAGAAATTACATGGATGAAATTAATACAATAGAAAAAATTCTCACACAGCCAAGACAAACATGGTTATCAATCAGAAAACATTCAGTCCACTCCCAAGCATGATTCCTCAAAGGAAACCTACAAAATAATTTAACAGACAAACCTAGTGATAAAAATTTGCCACTCTACTCAATACTGGGAAATAAGATCTCAGCAGAAACACAGATTCTGTGATTCATTACATCCTTCCTGTAGACCACCCCTCTCAACCACCAGGAGATCAGGCCCAGCCAAAAAAGCTTATGAAAAGCAGATCTTGCTTGACTACTCTGGGCTCCTTCCATGATAAGGTGACTCAGTGGATGAAAGAAAGGCTGTGGGTGCTGTCTCACTGAACTTTTTAATAAAGACTTTGACACCATTTGGAACAGAATCCTTCTGGAGAAACAGACTGCTCATGGGTTGGACAGGTGCACTCTTCACTGAGTAAGAGGCTGACAGGCTGGATGAGCTGAGAGATTTGTGTCGATTAGTGTTATATTCAGTTGGTGGCCAGTCACAACTGGTGTTCCCCAGAGCTCAGTGCTGTGTCCAGTCCTGTTTAATATCTTTATCAACAATCTGGATAAAGTACACTCAGTCATTTTGCAGATGACACCAGGCTGGGCAGGAGTGTTGATGTGCTGGAGGGTAGGAAGGCTCTGCAGAAGGATTTGGACAATTTGGGTCAATAGGCCTGCACTTGGGTCACAACAACCCCAGGCAACTCTACAGGCTTGGGAGACCCTGGGGGTGCAAGCATGGCTGAACATGATCCTTCAGTGTGCTCAGCTGGCCAAGAAGGTCAATGGCACAATGGTTTAGGGTGGGCAGCAGCACCAAGGCAGTGATCATCCCCCCATATCTGGCACTGGTGAGGTCACACCTTAAATCCTGCATTCAATTTTGGGACCCTCTTTACATGAGAGACATGGAAGTGCTGGAGCATGAGACGGGAAATGGAGCTGGAGAAGGGTCTGAAGTACAAGTTTTATGAGGAGAGTCTGAGGAAACTTGGGTTGTTTAGTCTGGAAAAAAAGGATACTGAAAGGAAGCTACATCCTCTCTTCAGCTACATGAAAAGAAGTTGAAGCAAGGTGCCTTTTGATGCTTTTCTCAACCAGCAAGTGTTCAGATGAAAGGAAATAGCTTCAAGGTGTGCCAGAAGAAGTTTAGATTGGATCTTATGAAAAAATTCATCACTGAAAGGGTTGTCTGGCATTGGAACAGGCTGTCCAGGGTGTCACTGACAGGTGACTGACAGGTGCAGTCACTATCCCTGGGAGTATTTAAAAGATGTATACATGGGGCACTTTCAAAGACATGGTTCAGTGGTGGAATTGGCAGTATTAGATTAAATTGGTTATCTTAGGTTTTTTTGACCAAAACAATCCTATGATTCTAAATTTTTTTTTCTTACTTAGAAAATCTAACAAGTGTCAGCTCTGGTTTCTTCCCATGTTCATTAGGTATCTCTGACCTTCTAGGTCAACATATGGCTACTGTGGTGAAATTTTATAAATACAAATTAAGAGAATCACAGGAACAGTACTTGAGAATTATTTAAAATGTTTAAAAGAGAAACATGATAATTAATATGATTATTTTACTCACTGACTCTTAACTCCAAATATATTAAAAACCTGGAAAAGTAAAAACAAAACAACCAAGGGGAAGGAAAGAAGTGGAAAAATCCCTATATTTGAAAAGGAGCTGAAATGCAATGAAAATTTATTTGATAATGAAATTTAAGTTATGTAGCAAATTGCAGGATACCAATGTACGTAAGACAGAACAATAAAAAAAAGAAAGGACATTTGTTTTCTTTAGCACATACCTGATAGCAGCAATTCCATATTGCTGTTTGTCAGTGTTGCATTTACTCTTCCTGAAGTTGCATTGAAACTGGTGACTGTTAATGTCATGGGTTGCTTCTTGCTTTTGTAATTGTAAGATCCTTTCCATATATAATTTTGGGCAAATACATCATCAGGAACTATTCAGATGAAAACATGTTTCAATACATTTTACGATATTCAGTACTTAAAAAGTCAAATAACCAACAAAATGTATGATAAATATGATTTTCTTTGCTCTTTTTAAATATACTAGGCATAATTTTCAGATATAAAACATAGAAACCTGGCATGAACTTTTATGAAATAAATGTATTTGCACTGAAGAACACAACTACAACTACATCTTCAATTGCCTTTTTGCTAAAATATGGACGTGTCCCAGAGTTAACCAGTTTCACAAATTCTAAAAGCTTAAGCCAGAAGATCGCATTCCACTCACTGTAGAATGTTTTCTGTGCCAGCACAGAAGCTAGGGACGTATGGCTAGCATTGAATTTTGCAGAAATTAGTATCTATTTAGATATAAAAAAAAATATATAGCTGTTTTCTTTAAATGACATTAAATATTATAAGCATTTTCTTTGTCAACTAGTCAATTTTTTTAAATGAAAAAAATATATAAAATGTTTTGTCTTTTCAAATGCTTAAAAACACTATGAGCTTCACCAAGAGAAAAAAAAATCTCTAATATAAAATTTAAAACAGATCATAGTCTGCTGGGGAATAAATATGCTAGATTTATACCCTCACATTCAATACTTATCATTAGCAAATTGAAAAATTATTAATTTAAGTAATGCTATTTCAGTAAAAAAAAAAAAAACCACCAAAACAACAAAAAGCTACCTATGATGTAAAAACTGATACATGCAAGTCTTTAAAATCTTAACATAAGATACCTTTCAAACAATGAAATTAAAAGTGATTAGGATGGGCTTACTACACTTTCCAAAGTAATGTATTGGAGTTACAGAATATAAGAATCACTATTTAAAATCAGCACTTGCACATTTTTTGAAGTAATTCACACCAAACTTAAAGCTCTGTATTCATGTGTGCATTGGCATCTCATGTCAGATAAGCAGAGAACAACCTCTGCTCTTTTCTCTCTCAAGCACCTCTAAATCCAAGACTGGGGCACACTGGAATACTCACAGTTTTCCTTCATCATTTATTTTATGCAATACAAAGACAGATCTTCTCCATGAAGGGTGAAGAAGCTTTCCTAGTTTTTCTGTCTCTGTATGTGTATTTATATTTGTATGTGTTTGTTCAAAAAACAAGTAGATACCAGACCCACAAGCAAGGAAATTTCATGGTGGAAATGCTCCGATGCTGTTGATTTCTAATCTGCCAGAAATATATTTTCCTACTTTTATGAAAACTGATCTTTTTGTGTTATATTGGCAGTTAATTGGGATTGCAAAAAATAAATGAAAATTTTATGAATTAAAAATTTGACGTCTAACATTCAGCAGCACATCATTGAAAAACACTGTTTTGAGCTAGTACACAAAATGTTAAAAAAAAAAAAAAAAAAAGCCCCCAAATCCCCATATGCTAAGGTACTGCTTTTAAATCTTATTCAATATCATAGAAACTCAATAGGTTTATTACAGCCAAAAGTTAACTTTAGTTAAGTAGACCACTCTTTTCAAAAAATCTCTTCAGACAGACAGTTTCTCTTGTCAAGACATACAAATATGGTCTTCAGCAAATCTGTTAAAACTGGAGACTTTAGACAGATTTGGAGAGATTACCTTGTCTCAGCTAAAATCAGCTTATTTTCTAAAGGCTAAGTTCAAGGCTAATACTAAGTATTTAGGTAAAGCAATTTAAATTACTGATATGTAAAAAAAGTGCAGGACTGAAGAAAACTGAAAAATATCTTGAAATTATTACAAGGTGAGTAGTACAGTTTGTAAATATGTAAATTGCATAGAATCTTATACAGTGATTTTAGTGAAACCAATAAAATTTTCATCACATAACAGAAATTGTATATAGATATAAACTATACCATATGGTAGATGGACTTCAAAATTAGGGAATAATTTAATTATCTTTTCCCCCTTGTTAATCTAGTGCCTAATCTAATATCCTTTACCCATTCTAAATCACTCAGTGCAATCTCATTAAACTGATCCTCTTTTTTTTTTTCTGCAGAAATTGTTTATAACAATATAAACCTTGGAGTACTTACCACTTAGTTTGGGACTTGGTGTTCCCAATGCTGGTCTGGGATCCTTCACTAATATTTTAGAACCAGCTATTAGAAAGAATAAATGATATAAAGATAAATCAGCAGCAAAATGTTACTCAGAAACAAAGAAAATAACTTCCATCATAAAAATTATTTGTTAAAAAGCATATGGGATGATGTTTAAAACTCAAATACAAATGAGATTTCAGCTGGCATCAAACCTCGGTATCACAGGAGCACTTGCACACAAATTTATTCTGTTCCTCCATATCCTCCTAAATCATGCACCTGGATGTTATTAAGTCATTTTCAGCAGTCAGACAGTGCAGGGTTTCACTGCAGAATCCACATATCAGGATTTACAGTCCTGGACCATGCACCTAATATGGTACATGGTGAGATGCCTCCTAATATAACATCTAATCCTGGCCTTGTCCCTCAGATTACAAACAGCAAACAGAGCATTGACTGCAATGTAAGACCAAAAAATGGAGATACACATAACCAAAGGGAGCTTGAAAGCCTTTGTCTCCAGGACTTAACTATCTTCAGCATTACTGAGCAAGACATCTTGTACTAAAGACTGAAAACCCATAAATGCTGCCTTAATCACTTAATACTGAAGGAGAAGGTCCCTGATTATTTAAAGGATAACAAGAGAAAGAAAGAAACAAAAAAGGCTGTCCACAGTATCTCCATCTGCTCAGGTGAATCGAGAACTGGAAGTTGGAGAATATAATTTCTTCTCTGCTTAGAGCAGGAACTCTCCTATCATTGAAGATCATGAACTAAATTAGGACTAGGACATTATAATTTCCTGGATATTAAGCTGTTTTGCTTTGGAGAAACTAATTCAGATTCACTGGAACATAAAGAAGACAAATAATTCTGTCTCCTAATATAAAATATTCTCATGTAGCACTACACTCAATTTCTTGCTCCAACTGTGATTTCAATGTTTTGTATTTTGGGTCTTGGGCTTGAACCCAGGCCTTTTCTCTCTGATCCATGTTCTAAAAAATTACACAAGAAAAGAAACTACCTTCCCCCTGAGCTGAGTATGTTTATGCATAAAAAGAAAACTTTTGCAAGGGCTCAGAATATTTTTATTGAGAATAAATTTTAGCTTTTTCAAAAGGTCTTTTCTTGTCACATATGTTAAAATGGTAAAGAAGCAAGGGCGGGGGTTGAAATACAGCCTAAGGTTCTCATAGACTGTTACTACTGACAGATTAACCTCTATTTCCTCTCTGTTTTGAAAGAAACTTACTGAGCTTCACTGTACATTGTTGACCTGGGGGGCATGGTTCAACAGCATATACTTTCTGACTACATAAAGTTCAGGTTAGAAGTTTCTGGATCACATTTTCCAGGTGGGCTTTAGCATAAAAAGGTGATGAGTCAATTTGCCTTGTCAAGTTGAATAAATTTCTAGTCAAGTCTACAACTGAAATTTGAAACACCAGATAAAACTTAAATACAAATGTTAGATACAAATCCCAAACTAAAACTAGTTAACTACGAAGTTTAAGTTTCTAGGTCCAGATATTTGAGTAGGACTTTCAAGATTTCAATTTTGTATTTAAAGGATCAAATCCTAATTTAGTTCCCCTACACATCCCTTTAGAGCTCTCAGCTCCAAATGTTTTATTCCTTTTCATCTATTTCCAAGTTATTTTTGGGAAGTTCACAATAAGAGGTGAACTTCTTTCAACAGCAGCAGCAGAAAATTTTTGAATCAAAATACAATCAATGAATCACATTTGGCCTGCTGTAATACTTTCCAACTACTGAACAAGTCATAAGGTTCCTGGCTGCTAGCTTTCTAGCACTTTTCCAAAGCTCTCTTTTATTTTTCCCCCAGCACTTGCCTGGCATGCAAATCCAGGACACCTGTTCTTTAGTAATACAAACTATTAATTTCCTATTTCCCTTCCAAGTAGCAATGTTTGGCTACAAAGCCTTTGAACGCCTCTCTAAAAGCCCTGGGGATAACCACATCTGAAGCATTAGGTAACAGTAATCTGAAAAGGCCTTTAATTATTCAGGAAATAAAATTGCAAACAGTTCCTACACTTGAGTATATTCCTTATCTCACATGAAAACCACCTTTCTCACCGTGACTTGGCTATGGTGTTTTCATGTCCTATAGTGACAAAGTGGGTACTAAAAATTAGAAAAAAATTAAAGGTTGGAACAGCAAGGACAAAGTAGATACATTTTGTTTTCTGTAGTAGTATATATATTCCATATATATTATATTGTATAGTACTATACAGTTCCTTACATAAAAATATAAAATAATAATAAGCTCTATGAATTAATTTCACACAGTGATTCAGACATCTTTTTGGACTTCAGGCGTCTTTTCCAAAAATTACTACAGAATAATTCAATCATTTAGGTTGGAAAAGATCTCTATGATCTTAGAGCCCAATAGCTAACCTAACAAAACTAAGTCCTTCACTACATTATGGCTCTAAATGCCACATCCACACATCTACCTCCACCGCTTCCCCAGACAGCATGTTCCAATGCTTGACAATCCTTCCTAATTTTTCCTAAAAATTTTTCATAATGTCCAACCTAAGCCTCACCTGGCAGCTTTAGGCCATTCCCTCTCATCACTTGTTAATTTGAAGAAGAGACCAACATTCACCTTGCTACAACCTGTTTTCAGGTAGTTTTAGAGAGCAATAAGGTCTCCCCTCAGCATCCTTTTCTCCAGGATAAAGACCTGCAATTTCCCCAGCCTCTCATAAGCCTTGTGCTGCAAACCTTTCACCAGCTTCATTCCTCTTCCTTGGGAACAGTCCAGTACCTCAATATCTTGGAGTGAGGAGTCAAAAATTGTACACACTATTCAAGGTGTGGTCTCACCAGTGCCAAGTACTGAGAGACCACTAAGCAGGTCACTTTGTTATAGAGGGAGATTTGGTTCATCAAGCAGGACCTGCCTTCCATAAAACATGCTGACTGGGCCAAATCAAATTGTTGTGTGCATGTGCCAACTGCAAGTAGAGAAAAGCAGTGAAATACGACAGATGGCACATGCAGTGGGAAACAGAAGAATTTACCTTCACAAACTGGAACCTTCCCAGTCCATGTGCCATCAGACCTACAGGCTCTGTGCTCTGATCCACCAGCCAAGAAGAAGCCTGGCTGACAAGTGTAAATCAATGTATAACCAAGTGATGGGAGATCCATTCCTGCAACATTAGCATGACTTGGTGTTTCTGGTTGTTTACAGCTGTGAGCTAGAAAGAAAAGATAAAACATTCTTATGTCAAAATGGTGAAAATATTTCTGAAAAGATAATATATGCCCATTCTGACAGTTAACTAACAAAGTGAAAAATCAATAGGAATTACATATTAATATATTTTAATTCACATTATAAATTACTATATAGCCTATAAAATATCACTGTGAGTCTATAAATGCACACTTAAGCATGAAACTTTCAATTCCAAGGGACCAAGAACAGACTTAAATGTACCTGCATGAACAAAATATTGTCTGCATATGAGAACAGAAACAGCACACCTCATACCAGACTTGAAAGCAATCACTACTAGTGATTTACATAATTTATCCTATTTATGTATATATGTTATACATTGTATTACAGTAAGTAAATGGTGAGTTGGAAAACACTATGAAAGATAAAGGAGAAATTGAAATTGAAGGGGAGTTGTAAATATCAGATAAATTTAGTTACCATTTCTAATGTCATATGAAGAGTCTTATATATTTTACAATCACCAGAATGTGGGATTTATGTGTTATCTCAAAGACAGCATACCTCCAAGAGCAGAGTTCACCTTTCAACACACTGAGCTACTGTTTTGCAGTTAGCTTATGATTAACCCTAGCACCAGCTGAGACAATAGTACTGCTCTTTCCTTCTGTGGATATGTTCTCCATTCACTGAAGTGATTCTATGTGGTCAGACCTTACAAGGTAAGACTATTTCCAGAAAAATACAGCAGACTAACTGAACTACAAAGATTAACCATGATCTTACATCTTCAGTAAATGACCATTGTTTACCAAAGTGTAAAAGATGGATGAAATGAAGTGCTGTTGTCCATACTCTAAGAAGATTCTATTTCAAATTCGAATATTTCTGATTGAAAACACTTTTTTCCCATCTTTACACTTTTTACTTCCATCTTAAAATACCATGACTCCTTGGCTGGGAAACAGTTCAAACTCCTTAAACTCCTTACTGGAACTGATTTTAATTATATGCTTTTCTGCATATTTTAGAATAAGGCTTTCTGATATGTCCTATTCTCACCATCTCCTGAGTTGGAAGGGTTGCACCCTCTTAGATAGAAGATCTGACTATTTTCTCTCTCTATTTTTTTTATTTTTTTTTTATTTTTAGTTCTATTGTTTTTTATATGAAAATTCACTCAGAATCATATTTCTAGCTGCTGAAAGCTAGTAGTACAAATTTCTGTTAACTTTCAGTTAATAAAGTTATGTAACTTAATGACAATGTTACTGCAGCTAAATAATCTAGATTAAAAAAACTGAGAAAAGGAAAAAAAAAATAATTTCTTACGTATACATTCTGGCTGGATTCCACTCCAAGTAAGATCAGGAAGGCAAGTTCGTGTTGTTGAGCCATGGAGCAGGTGTCCTTTTTTACACTGAAATTGAACAACATTTCCCACCTGTTGAAAAGTAGAAAACACAGTAATATTTTTATGAGCAACTATCAGCTGGGATTTTTTTTTCCTAAATTTTATCACTCCTTCACATAATACAGACTTGATAAGTTGTGATTCTCTTTCTCTGGAAAGTAAATTAATTTCACAGAACAATTTGATATGAAATAAAAAATTGCTTTGCTCCCAGTAGAATTACTCTCCCCCCAAAATTAGATCCTACATGGAAGAAAATCAAATCTTCATCTTCTGTGGTCTCTCTAGTGTGTTGCTTTGGGCCTGGAACAGTTGATGAACTGAGTTTGGAAACAAAGCTTATGGTGCCTTCCCCACTCTGGACCAAAGGAATGCCACTTGGGCAAAATTACCACAAATGAGGCAAGTCACAGAATTGAAATAGGTATTAGATTCTGCTGGACTTTTGCTGAACCAGATCCCCCTTTGGGAAATGCTGGATATAGTCACAGGTTATAATGATAAATATTTGATTAGAATAGACAATGCTGGTCAACAGCACTGTCTTATGCTTCAGAATGTTCCTATGACATTTTAATTTTGTTTTTTGATGAGGAGAGGTAAAGAATAACAGCTCTTTATGCCACTTTGATAATAGAAGCTGGAACACAAGTACATTACAATTTACAATAGCAATTCATCCGAGATTAGCTTTTAATTATTATCTTTATTATGGGTATGTGTTGCATAAAAAGGAAAATAGAATTCTTACAGTTTCTGCACAAACATAAAATGGAATAACTTGTTCAGCATGTCCAGTCATGGTGAAATTGATGAAAATGCAAATAATTCTTAGTTTCCATCAAAAGCGAGGAAATTAGATTAGAAGTACATGATTCAGAGAGCATTGTATTACATAGTTTGAGTGGTTAACTCAAATATTAAGGTGCATAGATTGTATCTACTGTTCTGCAGTGACCTGTATTAATATATTTATCAACTCATGTTTAAACAAGTAGTTGAAAACTTTAAACTATCTGTGACAGCACATTTATAGTTCTAGTTTGGGTTTTATATTTTAATTATTTTGTTTAAATGCATAACACTTGATTCAGACTGATGTTCAAAGTGTGGATTCTTTCTAGATAGCTTACTACTATGAAACAGCATTTCACTGCTACAAGTATTAATTTGAAACTTTATAGAACTATTCCATTTCAGCTCAAGTTTCTCATCAGAATGAAATTTAATAATAACTCATGAACTACAGATAGTAGCTCATCAACACAGGATGTGATTTAAAATTCATCTCCCTTTATTTTGCTCTTTTCTGTGCTCACTGGACTATGTAATTACTTTTAAAAGATTTTGAAGGAAATACACTAAATCACTTGCATGATTAAGCACAAAGTAGTAAAATACTACAAGTTTTAGAAATTGCTCCATGTAGCTGTAGAAGCTTTTTTTTTTTTCCTTTTCATGGTAAAGATCTCAGTTAAAACACTCAACATAAATATATTACTTTAAAAAATACTAGCCTTAAGGAAAGTGTGTTTATATGACTACATCAGTGGACAAGGGAAGCACTACAGATTTCATTTTTCTGGACTTCTGTAAAGCCTTTCACAAGAGCTCACCACAACATCCTTCTCTCTAAATTGGGCAAAGATGGAATTGATCAGAGGACTGTCAGATGGATAAGAAAGTGCTTGGATAGTCACATCCAGAGAGTAGTGGTGAATGTCTTAGAATCCCAATGGACAACAATGACGTAAGGTGTCCCTCAGGGTTCAATATTATTTAATGGCTTCCTTAATGACACAGGTGAAGGGACTGAGTGCACCCTCAGCAAATTCACAGATGACACCAAGCTGAGTGGCATGGGTGACACATAGGAAAGATGGGATCTATCCAGAGGGACCTGGACAAACTTAAGAAGTGGCCTGTGAGAACATCCTGAGGTTTAGTAAGACCAAGCTCAAGGTGCTGCACTACACCTTATAGAAGGGGTGGGCTGGATATGAACAGATCTAGAGAAAGACTTGGGGATGCTGGTGGATAAGACTCTGGACATGAAGCAGTGATGTGCACTTGCAGCCCAAAAGGCCAATTGCATCCAGGAATACATCAAAAGCAGCATGGGGCAGCAGGTCAAGGGAAGTCATTCTGTCCCTCTGCTCTGGTGAGACATCACCCTGAGTCCTGTGTCCCACTTTGGGTGTCTCAGCACAAGAAAACCACAGACTTGTTGGAGGAAATCCAGAAGAGGGCCACCAAAATTTTCTGACGGATTGTCCTATGAGGAAAGGCTGAGAGAACTGTGTTTGTTAAGCCTGGAAAAAAGAAGGCTTCATTATGACCTAATTGTGTCCTTCTAGTAACTGAAGGGAGCCTTCAAGAAATACAGAGAAGGACTGTTTACAGACACATGCGGTGATGGGACAAGGGGGAATAGATTCAAAATAGAGTAGGTTTAGACTAGATATTAGGAGGAAGTTTTTTGTTGTGAGGGTGGTGATAGACTAGCACAAGTTGCCCAGAGAAGCTGTTGATGCCTCATACCTGGCTGTGTTCAAGGCCAGGCTGGATGGGGCTCTAACCAACCTGGTCTACTGGGAGGTGTCCCTATCCATGGCAGGGGGGCTCCAAGTAGATTATCTTGATGGTCCCTTTCAACCCAAACAATTCCATGATTTTATGGTTCATGGGTTCACAAAAAACACAACAAGCACCAAAGAAACATCAAAATGCAGCAGTTGCCGAAGGGATGAAGATGTTAAAGAAATACCGCCATGTTGTTCAAGATTACAAATAAATGAAAAAATATTACAAGTAATAAGTAAGAACAATAAATTATATTAATTAATTATATAGGATATGTATAGTTATTATTAAACAAATAAAAGTATTTTTAAAAAGTTTTGTGGTCTACTTTGCCATACTCTTGTGTCAGAGGCACCAGGTGGCGCTAAAATACAGTATTCTATGCCCATAAAATTCCCAGTCCTGAGATGATCAGATTTGCTCTAATTTTTATTCTACAGCTCAAGTGAAAACATTAGTACTTTGGGAAACACTGTTTGGATTAAAAAAAATAAAAATAGTGCTTGATCATGTCTTTTCTATAGCTGCCTTTTCTATAGTGTCAGTTATAGCTTGGGTATTCCCAAAATTAACATAATAATTAACTTTTTTCTTTTTTTTTGCAAAACCCCAAAGACTGTATAATTGTTATTTTCTAACAGGAGAAATACCAATCTGTGAGGAAAATGCATAAATATCAACATGAATCCATTTACAAAGTACTCTAGATAATTTTTTTCATCAAATAAGATGATAATAATGTATAAAAATTATCAAAATAGTAAGTTATTATCCTTCTTATTTCTTATATTCCTTATAGGAATAGAAAATACTTCTATTTAACCTCATGAGTTACTCTACAATCAATTTTTTTTTTAGATTTCAGTTCACCAGAGAACATGAAGATACTCGAATAAATTTCTCCATCCCCAGCAATTAGTGCCAAAGAATTAAGAAGCCAAGGGAATGCCAGTTATTTATCTTCAGTAACTTTTAGCATCACATTTTAAGTGAATGAAAACATACCTCATTAAGTCTTC